TCTGGAAGTTATGGATGTTTTATGTTGGGAAATGCAGGTATTGATATGGTTTTTGGTTTCACTAAAATAGGAGTTACTACAATTAGGAGTAGATCAAGGTATCCGGCAAACTACATTAGATTGGTGTTGTAAAAGTATGCGATCCTTCAAGTTGGTGAAAAGGAAAGAAAGTTTGTTAAGGGACTTAAGGCCAAGACATAAGTTGGTTATAGTCGATTTAAGGAATTTTTGTATATTATCTGAGAGAATATGAATATAGGGGAGAGATTTGTAAATGAAAGGAGTGGTATTTTTGACACGCTGGGTGCTGGCTTGGTGGTATTGTGGATCAGATAAAGAGAGGGATCGGTGAATAAGGTTTTTGGCAGTATTGATTTTTTGGTGATATGGGTGTTGCGAATATAAGTTAAGTAGTCTGCCTGAGTACATGGGTTTAGTGTACCAGTCAGTAAAAACATAGCTGTCAGTGTTTTTGATTATTAGGAGGTCTAAGAAGGAGAGTGAATTGTTAACTTCTTTCTCTATAGTGAAATGGAGACGGGGGTGGTAAGAGGTGAATGAGGAATGCTGTCAGGGTAAAGAGCAAGGAGGAGGTCATCGACATATTTTTTTATGAAAATGATGGCTTGATGAAACAAAGGGATAACAGAGTCTAGAAGGTCATTGAGAACAATATTGGAAATATATGGTGCTAAAGAATTTCCCATTTTAATCCTTACTGTTTATAATTTTAATAATCTTATTCACATTGTTTATATTTTTTGTCTAAATATGATGTAACTCCCACAATTCTCTATCTTTTTGTATCTTGCCCGTTCTAGCCCTGAAGAAGACCTGCAAAGTCGGTTCGAAACGTGGGCTTTTAATAAAATAGTTTTGCCACTATTTAGCCTATTTATGACAGCCACCCCGGACCATCTCCTTCCTTTATAATGCAACAGTCAACTATTAAATATTAATTAATAATTTATGATTTTTTTAAACGGAACTTAGCTGTGTTTGTCGGCTCAATAGTCCTCTTAAAATGGTTTTAACTATGACAAAATGTACTACCATTAAAAGTAAATTTCGTCTAGTTTACGACGGAGCAATGTTTGATTACTTTAATTAAATATTTTTTTAAGTTATCGCTTCCTATTTAACAAAAAAAAAGTACTCACTTAAAAATACACAAATCTTAAATTTCTTACTTTTCTTCTGGAAATTGTTTATATCAACTTTTTTTGTAAATCTTGATGTTTAATATCAACCTTTTGAATATTTCCTTCTAATTATCGGACACTATGTATATTAATGTTATGGTAATAATATTTAACTTCAAAATTTTTAATTTGGATGAAAACACATTCTTCTACTTAACATTATATCTGGGCAAAATTTAATTTGGTTTATATATATTGCAAAAAAAAAAAATTGGTGCGGCGCGCTTCACACAATTTTCACTTACCACCCTCTTCCTAGCAGAAATGAGTATTTTTAGGCAAAGGGGAAGTGAAAGTAAAATATTACAAATGCTATATTGATTTATATTTCATTGTGGTATTTTTATTTTTATAAATACCCTTATATAAACAAATTTTAATATTTATATCACTATAATCTATACAATTAAATATTAAATAATACCAAAAATAACATCTAAGAAAACCGCATATGTATATTTGCATAATATTGTCGGGGTCCTTATTATATTAAGATCATGTTATATGTGGAAGCATGTCCTAATCTTTCGGGAGAGTGATATTTCATATATAATAATAATAATAATTATTATTATCCATGTATAATCCGTGAGGAGTTGCTAGTCTCCCATCAGGCGCCTCCCCAGGTGGCGGATAGGGGAAATCTCACCAGACATGGTGGGTACCAGGGAAATAAAATACCCGGGACGGACCAAAACTAGCAAAATCCAGGTGCGACGGTTCCCATATTGGGCGGCAACCTGGTCAACGTCTGTTCCCCATGTCAGGGGCGACTGTTTCAATAACCTGGCAGGAAGGTATAAAATGCACCTACCCATTAAATATGGAGCTACGGAATAGGAGATTAGCCTCGGACGAGCCTGATACTGAGGCTGCATCAGGCGGGAACAGTGGACAGCTTCCTTCAGGAACTAGTGGAGCGAGTGGCACTACCCTGTCGTCACGGACTGCAAGGTTTACCGGCCAACAGTTCGAGTTTGAGCTTGGAGGAGAGACATTCTCCACCCGCGCGAGTTCGGCAACAGAGGCCAAGAGGTGCAAAGAGGATGAAATGGACACCAGAAATGAATATGGCTGTCATCCGAGCATACTACTTGGCAACAAAACTTGAAACAGAGAAAACAGGATATCTGAACCGTATACAGAGATACTGGTGTGAGTCTTTCCTCGATATTAATATAAGCACGCAGAGACTGAGTGATCAGGTAAGAGTAATACTTGCGAGAAATTTTCTTACTTCAAATGACCTCCAACAACTTAAAAACGAAGTTCGTATGTTAATAGCCACTGAAAATGATGTCGAGCTCTCTGATAGAGCACTAAATACAAGAATAGATTCAGACGCTGATGTAATCAATGCCTCAGTCGGTAATAAAGATTCAGCGGAACAATTGGATGATGCGGATATAGAAAATAGATTGAGTCAATCACTTTTCACCGAGCATATTCTACTTGAGAGAATACCGCTTCAGGAGCGACCATCGTTGCCACGAGTACCGTATAATAAGGCCACAATTAAAATAACCAAAATAATGAATAATGTTCAAGCAGAATGAACGTCAGTTTTATAGAAACCTAATAAAAGAAGAAAAAATATCGATCAAATACCCTGATGACTTTGAAACCCATTTGAAAAATTTATGGGAAAAATCGGGGAATCACCTCGAGAGTTCTTGGATACAAGAACTGCAAAGTCTTTAGAATGTCAATGGAATGATGGAAGTGACCATAACTGTGGAAGATGTTTCGGAAGCGGTCAGAAACATGAAAAATTGGAGTGCACCAGGACATGACGGTATCCAAAATTACTGGATTAAAAGATTTCATTGCTCCCATGAATTGCTGGCCAAAGGTTACCAGGAAATACTTGAAGACAAGCAGAGCCCCCCTGATGGTTTTTCTGATGGCATCACGTATATGCTTCCGAAAAAGAATGACTTAAACATGCGTCCTGAAGATTTTCGGCCGATAACGTGTTTAAATGGTCTGTATAAAATTCTAACTTCCATCTTGGCAACTAAGATATATGAGCACCTCGAAAGTGAGAATATGATACACATAGAACAGCTAGGGTGCAAAAAAGATGCTAGGGGTTGTAAAGAACTCCTAGTAATAGATTCGTTCATTGCAGCACAAGTTGCGAAAAAACAGCGAAACCTCTCTGATGACAGGATGGAAAACTACGCTGGAAGTTGGAACTATCTGCACAGGGAATCAAATTAAAATATTGAGAGGAATATACCAAGGAGATTGTTTAAGTCCCTTATGGTTCTGTATGGCTTTGTTCCCACTAAGCAGGATTCTTCGAAAGAACAAGATGGGATACAAATTAATCATCAACGACGAAGCCACCACAGTCAGCCACAGCTGGTACATGGATGACCTTAAACTATATGCGAAAAACAAAGACCAATTACAAAGTATGGTTGAAGCTGTTTCATCTTGTAGTAGTGATATAGGCATGTCACTCGGTCTGGATAAATGTGTGGTGCTCCATGTAACCAAAGGAAAAGTGGTTAGTATGCAGAATATTCTAATCAATGAAAAAGAGTACACCAGGGAGCTTGAAGACAATAGGTTATATAAATATTTGGGAATGCAACAACATCTTAAAATTGCAAGAAAAGACATGCAACAAGATCCTCTGACAATGTTCAAAATTAGATTGCGGAAAGTGCTCAAAACCCCGCTAACCAGGAAACAAAAAATCAAGGCTATTAACACCTGGGCAATACCTGCTCTCGGTTAGAGTTTCGGCATATTGCACTGGCCAAACACCAGCCTGCAGGAGATCGACCGCCTTGTGTGAACGACTCACAGAAGAACGGGCCCACCATCCAATATCCTCCACAGGTCGTTTGTATTTGCCTAGGAAAGAAGGAGGACGTGGTTTGCTAAATATCGAAGAAGCTTGCCGCAAGCAGGAAGCGGCCCTACACTGATACTTTCTTACAAAATCAACTGAGGTTTACCTCGCAATCTCCAGATTGGATTATGGTCTAACCGCACTTAACCTAATTGTCAAACCTTGAAATTATTTAAGTCTGACAAAGGTACTGCAATTTTTTTTAGGGTGCTGTGAAAAATTGTTAATCCTTTAATATAAACTACATATGGTATGCCCATTTCATAATTCATTTTGAAATTTTAGTTTTGCTAACAATGAACATTTTTCAATACAATTTAATATTTCTCTCATTAACATTGTGGGTATTTTGTATTGGTGCTCAGATCGAAGAAACCGATGAGTAAGCATCTTAATCCACAAAATATTGAGTGTACTTAGGTTTTTCTACAAGACATTGTGGATCTAAATTCTGGTCATTGACTGAATTTGTTCTTAGACTACACCATATATATTTTCCCCTCTTGCTATATTTTGGTACTTCCACCTCCTGTTTTTGATTGAATATACTAAAATTCAGTATGCAGGATTGTTATCTAAGCAGAACAATACCAAATTTTTAATAAGAATTTGGATAAATTAAGTCAACACGTTGGCATTTTCAAGCAGTTTTGTCCCGTACTGCTTGTAAAAGTAAAAGTACTGCGCATATCGACAGCCCCTCCAAATAATGTAAAAGCTTTGAAACTTTGTAAGTAAATCGAGTTGTGTTAGAGAAATGCCTTTTGGGGGTCTAAACATTTTCTCCAACCACCACTGTATTTCCAAACTTTTTCACACATCTAAAGCACTTACAAATTGGTTGGGAGGTAAGAGATGTCAAGATGATACAAAATAAATGTAGACAATAAAAAACTACTACCAGCATCATTTTACTAATTGTAAAGAATTACCTTGGGCTTAAACTAGCCTGTGGAGTGTAACTGTTCAGTATATGATATGCTTTTAAAAGATCTAATTTACCATGCCCTTGCTCAAACATGTTAATGCCAGGGAGTCTACGGGCAGAAGCCATCAAAGCCTGTTTCATGCTAGCTGGATTAATAGCATTACCACGGTGAAGTACACCACTGAAAATTTAGAGTAGATTAGAAACACAATAGAACTGACTTTTTCTTATAATTTATCATAAAAATATATATCTAAGAGATAATAGCTGGAATTCCAACAAAAATTCAAAACAACGTAATGTAAAAAATACTAGGGTAAAGGCACCAATTATTGACACTTGTAACTTAAATTTGCTAAAATAAGCGTTTAGATTCATGTAGGATTTCAAACTTAGCGCCTTTTCAAAGGCACACTAATCTGCCTTTACTCTATACTGTTTAATATGCACTATTGTTTTAGACTATTTAGTAAACCTTTCCAAGGAGTTTCACTATTTCCTAAGTTGGCCTGACTATATATATATATATATATATATATATATATATAAATTAGGTTGAGTTAATTTACATATAGCAAACAATAAAATGGATATAGCAAACAATAAAACATTAATTGTTTTACACATTTTTACTTTTTGACATTACTCCCAACCAATACCTCCTACCTTTAATCCATGGTCAATGTTCTCTACATTATTATGAAAATATATGTCAAAATATTTATTTATTTTGAAGCTTAAATGTTTTTTAATAGAATTTGCAACAAGGCTGTAAGCTGAAAAGATGAAACGAAAATAGCTATTTTTTAAAAAAGTTGTAACAAAAAAAAACCAACCACACAGCCATCAGTATAATATGAAAAATAAACATATATGTCTTCAATGAAGCACTATCCTGTGTAGTATAATAATCTGCATTGAATCTAGCAGGCACAATTTTTCTGAGATTCATTGGCACACTGAATAAGGACATGTATCAATGATTCTTGCATTTCCTCTTCTTGCTAGTAAAGGGATACAACTAGGGAAGCATTGTATTCGTGTTTTAATTTATTGCCCACTAGACTATTTAAAGAAAAATAGTTGAAAATGGTTTATAAAAATATAAACTAAGGATATAAAAAACTATTTATTTTTATGAAATTTTTTACTTTACTTCATTTCAAAATCAGGAATGTACAATGGTTGTGAGACCTAGGTAAACTAACCTATCTAGTAGTAAAGTTAGTCTCATAGAAAATCGGTTTGACAAAAGTTAGTAAAATATAAGTCTACTACTTACAAATATAAAGGAAAGGTATTGCAAAAATAATAAATTTGTTGAGAAAAATGGGAAAAGAACTGACAAATATACACAACAGTTAAAGATTGTTTTTTTTCTTTGAGTAAATTGTGAAGTTTCCACTTTTTTTTTTTAATTTGTTGCCCACTTGACTATTTAAAAAAAGTAGTTGAAGATGGTTTATAAAATATAAATAAGGGATATGAGAAACTATTTACTTTTAATGAAAATCAGGAATTTATAATGGTTGTGAGGCCTAAGTAAATTAACCTATCTAGTAGTATGGTTAGTCTTGCCACTACTTTTACCTCAGTCTCCCCCCCCCCTTCACGTGAATGGACCTTTGATTTCGGGATGTTCGGAAATCCGCTAGACACGTCCTTCATTCACTACCTTACACGATCATGCGGATCGGCATTAGTGCCTCGGAATGCAATTCCGAATGACCGTATAGGGTCCCCTTAAGGAATCGGAAATTACCGATCGACTGGATCGATCCACCGAGTTTATTCTAAGAAATCTTCCAGCCTTATTGAATTGATCGCCGAGTAGTTTTGTTTAATTTTCTACTAGCATTCCGCATTCCAGACATTTATAACCTCCACTTATTTAAATTACTATTTTGTTCATTTTTTTCACTCCGTTCCTTTTATTTATACATATGCACAGTTTGTTCCCTCTTGTACTTTTATTTTTAATAACCTATTATTATGTAAATATTTAATTTAACCTTTCACACTTCAGATATTTCTAACCCATGCTTATTTATATTACTATTCATTTTATTTTTTGTCTCTGTTTGTTTTACTTACATATTTGTACTGATTATGCCAAAGAATGGTTTTCATTTAAATTTTCCCGCGTTACGGCGAGTGGTGGGGGCAGATCTAAAAGATAAAAGATAAAACTTAAGCCTTGAGAGCGACTGGTTGTCTTGACCCATTACATCGGCAGCCACTGGCCAAGTACCATCTACAGCACCAGAAGTCACGTACGGAGGGCCCTCCAGGTAAAAAAGCATATAGGCACATAGACGGCAAGCTATTTTTTGCACAATCATTAACCTACCAATCCCTTGAGATACAGTCTACTGCTTTAAAATTATAATGTTGCCTTTAAAATTTTGAATGTTGCCTTAATGAAACTCATGAAAGTTATTTTGCCAAAATTAGAAAAGTTGCCTAAACATTTGGTCCACCGGACACGATTAAATATTTCTTTGGCCATATTAGGGATGTTTTGCCGTACGTAAAAGAGGAAATTGTCTGATAGGTTATGAGACGTTATATAAAGATCGTCTATTTCTGGGCTGATATTCGTATTACACCTATTAATTAGTTGTTTTTTTAATGTAACTTACGTCGTTTATTACTTTCTTGCGTATTAGGGGGCGTCAGAGTAATAAATTTTTTTTTTTTTGTGTGTAAAAATTATATTTCCGGTCTATTCCTATTTAGCCTAATAACACGTTTTTCAAAAACATACTTTAACCAATAGATCTAATGCTTTCGTTACCTATAAGGGAAGTCAAGCAATTTCCAGATAAGTGTCCAGGAATATTCAGGAAAGAACAAATAGTGACTTGCTGGAATTAGGTGAGCTTGTTAATACATACGTTAATCCTTGCCTACTTTGCTGAACTTGGTGAAATTGTTTTGAATAAAAGACCTGCCTTTGCTGAATTTGAATTTATTTTAAATAAAAGTCCAGCACCACTGAACATTAAATTTTGATTTGAATAAAATTAGTTTAGCCTTCAGTAAATAAATTTTAATTTTGAATAAAATTGGGTTTTGCCTTCAGCAATTGAAATTTGATTTGAATTTTATTTTTTTCATTCTACAAATTTGAAGATGGCACCGACTAATGGTACTGAGGGACTTAAAGCTATAAATGATAGAAGAGAAAAGATGTTTCTTCGAATTCAAACGACATATGATACGATTAAGGGTCTCCCTGATAGAAAGGAAATTTTTATGGTTAGGGCTTCAAACAAAATTTCGGTGGTAAATGAATCACTAGATGAAAAACATAGAATAGAAGTAAACGCACAATCTCTAGGGGAGGAAGACCTTTATTATGAAATAAAAGCTGCGCACGAGAAATTAATTAAAGCTGAGCACATAGTTCCCGCTTCTCAGCCCATATCTAAACCAGTAGCGTACCATAAATTGCCATATTTGCAAATTACTCCATTTTCTGGTCAGTAGGAACAATTTCTCTCCTTTAAATCATTATATGCCTTAATCCATCATCGAAATTATACAGAAATAGTGAAGTTTTCATACCTCAAATCACTTTTAGTTCAACCTGCTTCACAGGCCATTTCTTCAATCGAGTTTAATGCAGAAAATTACAGCTTGGCCCATGATAAATTAGTAAAGCGCTACAGCAATAAAAGGATCATTGCGGCCTACTCTCTTAACAAAATTATACGATTTAAATCCTTTTCGGTTGATAATTCTACCAACTTCAGAAGCTTTTTGGATACATTTGAGGATAATTACAACACCCTAAAAAATCTCAAACTCCACAACCTCGCTGATTTTATTTTGCTGCATCTTGGACTGGACGTTGTAGACCCGAATACAAGAAGAATGTTTGAGAATAGTCTCAGCGAAGAGACATAAAATTATAAATTGCCCTCAGTTTTTGGATGAAAATTTTAATGGTCGTCATGACTTGTAAAAGAAGTCTGATTTATGTTTTTCTTGTACGGGACTTCATCGCTTACCGAATTGTCAAAGTAAGGGTTGTTGCCAAGTTTGTGGAAAAAGTAGTCACCATACAATGTTGCATAAGGCTGCAAACACTGAGCCATCACAGTCGCAAGTAACAAACAATCCTAGTGCAGTTTCGTGCCACGCTACCACCAGCTCACAGGTACTTCTGAGTACAGCGTTAGGTAAAATTCGTTCAAGTTCAGGTCAGTGGTATTCATGCAGAATGATGATGGATCCAGGTTCACAAATCAATTTAATTACCACTGATCTTTTTTTTTTTTTTTTTATTTCTTTATGACATTTACAAATGTATTACATAAATACATCAAGTAAATTTGGACATAATTGATATAATGACATGAATACACTTGCTGAGTAACTACCCAATGGTAGCACTCTAATGATATGACTACATTAGGAGATCACGGGGCCATCTTCTTTTCAGACGCCTCGGAGGGTTATCAGGAATTGAAGAGGAAGCAAGGTTAGAAACGAGAGGGTTGGGATGATTCTGAAGTTTATTATGGAAGGATAGGTATCTGGATTGGGCCAGATCTGAAACATAAGGAACATTAAGATCTTTATGGATAATTTTATTAGTTACACCACTGATCTAGTGAAAAAATTGCGCCTTCGTTCCCGGGTTAGTCCTCTTGTGGTTTCTGGAGTAGGTAATACCTCCACATCTTGATCTTCTGCTGAGATTAAGGTGAAGTTGGGTTCAACGAAAAATAGAAGCATATATGAGTTTTCAGCCAGAGTATTCCCCTGCATAAGTGGAAGTTTTCCTTCGTTTGCCGTGTCCCAAGAAGTACGACATAAATTTGCGTCAATAGATCTAGCAGACCACCAATTTCATACGCCAGGAAAAGTAGATTTACTTCTGGGTGCTGAGATGTACGGTGAGGTTTTAAGTGACCATGTTTTATTTCTTAAGGGACAACCAAAAGCTATTCATACCACATTAGGATGGGTATTATTTGGGGACACCCTCTCGGAAAGCCAAATACCTTCTATACGTAATTTTTTCACGCAGACCAGCCCTTCCTTGCAGGAGGAATTAAAGCGATTTTGGGAGACTGAAGAAGTCACAGTTTCGATTCCGCCAAATCCTGAAGATGCATTTTGCTAAGATCACTTTATAAATACATGCGCCCGTGATCTCCAGGGTAGATT